GTAAATTTTTTTATTGGCAAAAAAATGAGTTTGCTACAGGCCACATTTCACTGTTTGTATGACTATAAAATTCTGATATTGCTACGAAAAGTGTTTAATTATTCTCCATATTTACGTATATGCATACACTCAACTACCCACAATTTTTTTTTGTTTTCATTGTTACGAAAACTTAATACTTTGTAGAAAATTTGATCATCCTTTTGATTTTCCAACAAAAATATCTCTTAAAACACCAATAAATATAAAAAAAACTTTAAATGCAACTTCTGAATTAATTTTGAATAATCCAAGTAATTAAAATTAAAAAGAAAGATAAAGCACTTTTTCGTCCATTAAAAAAGCTCCCTCTATAAACAAAGCACAAAGGGGCATAAATATTGTAAAGTGTCCATGAATGTGTAAATAGTTGAATACGGTCGCGTAAAAATATCCAACTGCATTGACAATTTATGAACAGGGATGTAAACTCCACCTTTAGGTCATTAATTAAAAGTGCAACACAAACGCACACAACGTATATATAATATCATGAATAAGTCGAGTCTCTGCTGGGTAAAGCTTCGTGTTACGGTATGGAAAATAAACACTTTGCTGCAGTAAAATTTCCAATCTTCATAATTCAACTCGGTAATTTTGCGTCACTGCTACGTAAAATCCACAACGTACTTGCATACTTCAAATAAGCAATAAGCTAGTTGAAAGTACAGTGGGTGCATAAAATACAGTGACAAGATACTCGAGAACAATATCGCGAAAGGACTTGGTCAGGTCCTCTTTGACAAAACAAAGCTCATCGAATCACAGCGGAGTGCTCCAGTTGTGTGAGCAAGGAAGGAGCGCGACGGAGTAGGACTATTCTTCCCTTTCCCACGAGCCGAGCAACCGTCACTGCTACTCGATCGCACCCCCAAACCGACGAACCCACATTACCACGTTGTTCCTCCAGGACGACGCAAGTGGACCATCTCAGTTGTACCCCCCAAGCGCGTAATAACACTGTGTAGATCAGCGCGAGGACGCGGAGTAAATACGAAATTCAATCCCACAAGGGAGGCGCGCACACCTCGGCTGACGAAACTTTTTGCATTAGCCGAGAGCGGAGGGACGCCAAAGTTCGCGCGAGCCTTGGAGCAAGAATTTTTGAATCTTTCAGCGTGCAGTGAAGGGAGCCGTTTAACTTTTAAGAGCGCCAAGTTTCTACCCACCCACCTCGCTGTTGGCTGGCTCACCCCCTCGGGGGAGATGTATGGTTATTATCCATCGTAATCACTGTTGTACGTTACAAGTGATAAAGTGGGAAATCGCCACTCTCTCTATTTTTTCTCCCTTCCCGAAACTTTCCTAGGTAACTGATTTGTTAATATCAATGAAAGTTTGGTAATGGATTCCACAGGGGGTGAAAAACGGCTCGCGCACGCTTTTTTCCTCCCCCCGCCCTCCGCAAGTTGGCGCTAAGATTGGTCGGGCTCGTGATTTACATTCTCTCTGGGTAAAGCGCGCGCGAAGAGCATTGTCTATTCATGGAAGGAAACTATAGAGCTTTCACGGTGCACCTCCTTATACGTACCTTTGCGTAAAGTACGGAAAAAACATTGGTGCCGGTTTTATGAAAATCCCGGAGCTCCTTGCAATAGCCGCTCCACCCTCTTTTACGTAGATACGTGAATTGCTTAGGATGTTTTTTTTTTTTTAATTTTAATCCAAAGCGTGGGTCATCGTGCACGAAAAATTAAGTAGATGTGAGAATCTCAAAAGTAAAAAAAAATAAAAATTATGTTTGATGTGGTTATCCAGAGGATTGTATAGTTGCTTGTCTTTTCAACCCAAGTCTAAATTAGCTGCTTTTCTCCCATCCAACCATCACCAACGTGTCTTTAGGGCTTGACGGAATCCGATACACAGGAAGAGACCTCGAACGGATGAGCTTTCAAGCACCCTCGTATACTCGTACATTCGAGTCGTCTTCAAACACTCGTACATCCACGAGCGCCCTGTAATCCATCCTTCTCGTTGACACTCCAAACAACCTTTTCGATAATTTTAAGGAAAAAAAAAAAAAAAAAAAAAAACAAAGGTGTCGGAATCGCGAACTGTATATTATAAACCACGTGCCGCAACCCCATCAAATTACTACCCACCTCGGCTCGACAAAACGCCAACTTCCAAACTGTTCGAGCGAGCGATGATTAAATTTCGATGCTCCAAACTAAGGATACGGATATATGTACCCACCAGCGCCGAGGTAGCTAATCATTGTAAAGGGATCAGCCGCTACGGTGTATCCCCCTTACCTCACCCTGGGCGTGCTCGCAAATCCTGTTATTACTGGCTATCTATCCGGTGTATCTGCTAACCTCGCGGCCGATTGTCTGGGGGCTTTGAAGTCACGGCAGCTACGTACTCCTTATCGGTAATCCATCCCCATTAATCATCCCCGGGAATCCGTGACCGTATACTCGTGCACCGTGGGATTGAAAAAGAAAAAAAGGTACAATAACCAGGAAGGAAGAGAGCTGCGAGCGGAATGAGGCCGTGAGCGAGGACGTAATAACGAGGGCTTCGAAACGAGGCTAAAACTTTTATCACGACCGCTGTACCCCTTTTCCCCCCGCACACCCTCGCTTTTGCCCATATAACCCCGTTTACAAATTACACGTACAGATGCGCCCTTTTTTTCCTCCTCCTCCTCGAAACGACAGCAGATGCAGCTCCAAATTAACTCAAGTGCCCGCCCAGCCGTGTACACGCGCGGGTAAACCAATTCTCGTGCATCTACGCCCCGTACCGCGAGCGTGTACCCGATAGTGCTCGGCAACCACCGCCTCTACACGCGCACCTAAATGCGATAAAAAAAGCCCAAGAGAGGGAGAAAGCCAAAAGTCGCGTGGCAGGTACTGAGAGCAATGAAACCGAGCGTGAAGCGACGATACGACACCCCCTCGTTCCGCAGGAAAATCGCTCACGGGGCACCCGCCCCTCTACCCCGTGATACGATGAGTCGTCGCGTCCCACTTCCCGCGGCTTTGTGCGTACACCGTGTAATGGAGACCCAGTGGGATTAACGTAAGCATAGTTCCTCTTTAGTGTGGGCGTCAACGAGTTGGAAAAGAAAAGCTCCATTTCTCCTACCTCTGTGGGAACGAAGAAAACAAAATGCACAGCTACTTTTACTGTCACAACTCTACATTCGGAAACAAGTGGGAGGCGGCTCGGAGTGTTCGTGCCATGAACCAAAAGACGCGTACCGTCTGTTGTCTGTATAACCCGTAAAGTCGAGATGAACGCGAATTTTGGGTACACAGTTTGTTTAAACTTTCGGGTGCGCCTCTACCGGAGATATGTATTTTCCGCGGTACAGATGTATACATATATAATACGTAAGCCCCGCTGATCCCGAGTACACACAGGTGAGAGCGTCTTGGTGGGAAGTCCCGGTTAATTCCATCTCGCTCGTTCTTCGGCTTCGGTGTTTGCGCAACAGCATCAACCCCTTCCTGTCGCTTTTACGAGCTTATTTGCATTACAACGGGACTCGTTCGTTTATCATGGAAATCCAGCCGAGCCGAACAACCGTGTGCCGCGCACGACCACCACCCTCGCGCTAATAAGCAAAAGGGAAGGAGAAGGACGCACGGAGTTTTTCCGTCGACTATTACGATACGTATGGGAGAGAGGAGTGCTGTGTGCAGCCAAAGTTTTTTGATCGGTGAAATTAATGTCGGCGCAAGAGACTCGCGAGTCTCGCTTACGTGCGTTAGCTCGAGCAAAACGGGTCTGGCTGATATCCAACCGAGGGAGTATCGCGGGATACGTATTTCCCTCGGTTCGCTGTTTTACCATTTATCTCCAGATCCACCGATACGCTCATCCGATTTTGTGATATGGTTATGGCGAGAGCTGAAAAAAGTAAAGGGTTCCACGACAGTCGGTCTCGAGTGTGGGGTTGAGAAAGAATGGAATGTGCGGTTGGTGGAAGTTTGGCGAGGATATACTTTTGGCGTGGCTCTCGCTACTTGGACAAAACGAAGCCGTTTCATCCAAAAGTATTGCCCAACATTGTATTTCCAGCAAATGAGATCTTCGATCCAGGATGGACGGTAATACGTTGGAGGTAAGGTGTAACGAGCAGAGGGAGTAACGAATGTACTTCATGATCCAGCAAGTTGAAATATTTCCATCGTACAAAAGAAAGTTGCGCACAGAGTATATATATTTAGTGCACGACCACTCGATAAGGCCGCGCAATGGGTTTGGAAGTTTTACAAAGTTAGATCTCGCTGTAGGATTAAAAGTTGGAACAATAATGAAGGAGCTGGTCTTTACGTGTTGTCGAGTTTAATGATTTCTGTTTCGATGATAGAAAAATGAGCCAAAGCTGGAGAAAGTTATTGGCGGTCGGGAATCAGTTGAAGCTAATGATGGTTGAGCAACAATTGTCCTCCAGGAGAGTCGTACAGTTTGTGTAAAAGGTCCGAGTGGATTTATCCTCGCGTTATGTAAACATTATTCATAGCTGATGCAGACTTTCAATGCCTTACCAAACTATCGTGACTAACGACTAGTCAAATGCGAAAACCTATGACCGGCAAATTGAGAAAAACATGTACGGATTTTTCCAAAAGTCCGAGAGATAGAAAAGTAAAACTGGCCAAGACATTGTCCAAGGACCATTAGTTTTATCACAGTGTATGAATAGAGTCAGCTCTCTATCGGATTCTCGAATTTCGGACACTCATCGCACTGCACTATAGTCGACTCAGTCGTCGGGATCTCAATATCCATCGTACCGCCGACCACCTCAACAGAAACCCCTAGACAGTCGTGGCAACGGATCACCGGGATGGTATCACAATACGGTCCCTCCAGCACGTTTGTACCCAAGGGACCCTCGACTCGGTAACGATCACCGCGCACGAACCTCACCATTGCACCAGTCGAAAAAAAGGAACGATCCATATAAATTCCCAGGAAACAACTCATTTTTCGCATCCATTTACCTTCGGTGCAGAGCAACAGTATAGCAGCAATGGAGATCCTCGCCTGCCATCCCAGAGCCATGTCCGTGGTTTGGTGTACCTACTAAACAACGATCACACACGCGTCTTCCGCACTTTGGGGGGAAGAAAAAAAAAGAAAAAAAAAAAAAAAAAAGAAAACAACCTCACTCGAGTCGAATCATAAGCACCATTCACCGCTCGAGCACGGCACGGCTCTCAACGTCCCCGCGCGTCGATCCATCCACGAAGCAACGGTCACAACACAAGCCCACGACGACTCAGCGCCGAACCACCACCAGCGAAGCTATACGAGGCGGCTCGGTCGCGGTGACCGGCCCGTCACCAAGTTTCGCATCAGCACCTGCTGTCGACCACGAGACACGTGTCACCGAAGCAGCTCACCGATCGATCTCACTTGTTGTTGTAACTTGCGGTAGGGACGAAAAGGCCGTCTCGAGACTCCGCCGACGGCCTCCTTCGCGCAGGAACTTGCAAAGTATAAGCGGTGATCGATGACCGTGACAACACTCTGGGGGGTTGGCCAAACGCTTAGGTAACTTTCAAGGGAGAACACAAGTTTTGTTTTGCCTGTCCTCGCTCACTTCTCCCTGTACACTCGGACTTTGGAGTACATTGATGTCTTTACTCGCACCACTGGCCTCGCCGACAACCCAAATCGGTAGTATTTGCACGAGAAACGAGATGGAGAGTCGGTTTTTTCAACTCGATGAAAAGTCTCGTTGCGCCGGAGCCGAGGACCCGCCTTTCTCCGGACCGTAGCTGGAGAGCCTCATTAGGCAGACTCCGCCGAAAACTCTCCCTCGCCGCACCCCACTGTGGAAGCGTATAGTTACTGGTACTTTCGTTCTTTAAAATAATAACGATGCCGACGACCCCGCGTTGCACCAATAGTACCGGGTGGTTGGAAACTGATGGCAATCAGCGGGAGAAGAGGAACCCCCAATTACGGTGATCCATCGCGATCCGGTAGACCGAGTGGTCGCGCCTTCCACCCCCCCGTAACTTGTCCCCGCATGATATTTAAAACGCGTGCACTATGGGCCACGGGTGCGCGCGCGAATCTCCGTGCGCGTATACGATATCACCAGCACTGAGGACAGAGTCGGCACTCGCACGTCTTGGTACCGCGGCAGATACTCCCTGACTGGCTTGATTCTCGGGCGTGAGAGCATGCGCGCCTTCCTGACCCGCCGTACCAACCCCTCTGCGCCGATGTACCAAGCAGCCCCCCTCCCTCTTTTTCACCCTCGCGTGTGTGTATATACATCGATACAGCGGGGGATAAGGTTTGGGTGAGAGAGATGGTCTAGCGGTGACTCTCGTACAACACCACCAGCAGGACTTATGTAGGCGTCCGGGGGGAGGGTGCAGACGAATCGCCGCTCCCTCTTCCCTCGTCCTTTTTTGGCTCCCTTGCGGCTGTATACGTGCCTGAATATACACTTATACACGCGGGCGTGGATGTTTTTCTCTATTTTTCTCGGTATTTTGAACTTTCAGCTCTATCTGCGCGCCTCCAACTTGTGTCTACACGGTACGACCTTTTTTTTCCCTCCACCTCCTCGCGTTCCATTTAAATCGAGAGGAGGGCGATAATTTACGGATACGCTCTGGTGCAACGGTGGGCCCCTCTCTGGGGACATCAATTTTTGAGCGTCTCGAAAATTGTGACTTTGCAAAACCAGGAGAGAATCGATTGACGGCTTTTTTAAAGGGTGTTTTCGGGGCGTTTGGTACGATTGCAAAGAGCTGCCTGGAAAGCAGCTTCGTCTGGGATATTTCAATTTTTGTTTGGAAAAATAATTCAATAGAACTTTTTTTTTAGTTCAAAACTCTCATTTGCGCGGATTCTGAGCTTTTAAGATCCGAGACGTGATGCGATTTTTTGAGAGTTTTAGAATCCTCGTGAACGAGGGATACCGGAATTCTCCTAATTAAAACGTTTCGACAATAAATTTTTCTATATGGCGTCTACTTGAATTCTTCCATGTCATACAGATTTACTTATTTAATTTACTTTGATCAATTTGTGACACGAATCCTACACTGCCGGTTGCAAGCAACTATTTGCAGTCTAATTTAAATTACCATAATTATTATTGCATAATTTGTGATGATATTGGGCTTTAGTAGAATTAATAACATTTTTGCCTTATGAGGTCAAATCAATTCAATAATTCCAGTTGAATTGTGCGTTAATTAATTGATGATTGAAGAAATGGTTGCTTGTAACCTAATTTATTCCTACTAAATTTAAAAAAATATTTTTGTACACGGCTTGTTGGTCGTAAATTGTCTGAGAAAAATTTTCATACGTAATATTTTTCTGAGATCCATAATTTTTCTAGTAAATAAACTTAAAATGTCGTTCCTAAGGGTCAGGAAAATAAAGTGTAATACTAAAGTCTAGAAATAGTTAATAAAACATAAAAATTGATGCATGACAAACATGTATATTACATCGAGACCCAGCCAGTAAAAACCAAATATTTGACAAATCAACTTAAAGTTTTTCTCAACATATGTTTTTAGATATAAGTAACCGAAAGAAAAACTTTCCGTTACATGGGAAAAAGAAGCTGAAATTTCATTACCGTAAGTAGTGCAGTATCTAAAGAGAGTTTATGGAGCTTTTTCGATTTAAAGAAAAACTAATCAAAGTGTGTTAATGTATTTTCACCCACTGAATACGATTTTTTTTTGTTTTTTGTTTACCGTACAAGAGTAACGTCGTTCTTCACATTAAAGAATCTGATAGAAAAATTAGAAATTTTTTTTGTTCTTCAGTAAACTGTTTTATAGAAAACATTGCACTTTGAAAGTGTGTCGATTAAAAGCTTCTACAGAAATAAAATTTAAGTGTGAGCTTGAGATTGACAAATTTTAACAATTTTACTGAAGTACGACACCCATAATTTGATGAACAAATTCCTAATTTAACACGTAATTAAGAAAAATTTTTAAATTAATTAAATCGTTTGTACTAATTTCAATGCAAACATTTGAATGTCGAATACTAAAGTTTCTTTTTTTATATTTCATGTACAAACTGAGTCGAAAATTCTATGTTTGCTTTGATTAAAATCATCATCTATAGTAAATGCTCAAAGATTATAAATCTGTTTGGATTTCGTAAATGTTGATAAAAACTTGCAATTTATTTTAAATTATCAGGTATGATATTTTGTATACTTATTATAATTAATAATAACGTTACAAAATATCAAACCTGACAATTTATTTTAAATTATCAGGTATGATATTTTGTATACTTATTATAGTCGAAAAAAAGGAACGATCCATATAAATTCCCAGGAAACAACTCATTTTTCGCATCCATTTACCTTCGGTGCAGAGCAACAGTATAGCAGCAATGGAGATCCTCGCCTGCCATCCCAGAGCCATGTCCGTGNCTAACATTAATTTTTTTTAACATTAAAATTAACGTTAATGCTCAGGGATGCATATCCTAGAATTAGTACATGTAAAAAAAGGATATTCTTCTGTCTGGATACTTATGGTTTTCTATACCGTTGAGTGCACACTTACGTTCAAGAGGATACCTTTACAATTTCAATGTCCTTGAGAATTTGTTTTTGAAATAATTGCATTTTAAATACCGTGTAAAGATAAAAACATTTTTGTAAACAGTTATAACGACTGAAAGATAAATGCAGCACAAGACCAGAAAATTAGAATCTGTAATTTATTAAGATAGCAAAATAAATTGCACTTGCAGCTAAAATTCTCAAAGACACCGGAATCGCGTTAATACACCGATCGAATTCGAGAAAGAAAAAATCCTGCACGAGTGAGGTATGAACAGCCGACTTTCTGTACACCGGACACAATTTCATCTTACACGCGATTCACAAGTAATTACGTAACATCCATCACAGAGAACTGAAAATCTTAAGAACCCTCATACATCACTCGCTCGCTGATGGAGCGTCTAGTTGATGCAATTGTACTCACCTCACTTTTGGATTATAGGAGTCATTGCTAAAATTCATTATTAATGATAACCAACTGTAAAAAGCTTAAAAAAAATTGCATCTCAATCAACAACCCCTTAAAACACACCACGTACGATTTCCTTCTGGAACCTCGGAAAAATTGCCAACAATGTCACCATCCAATCATTCAGTGTTTCACCACGCACGAGTACAATCGAGTCCCGTACATGTATATATTTACCACCGACGCAAGCGCAGTCTAAGATCGGAATGCATGGGGTGGCGACGGGGACTCAAAGCCCTTAGGTGCTAAACCACCACCACGTACACGTCGGCGCAACCAAAGCACGATAGCCAGTGGGTACAAATAAAAGCTTGTATATTTTCCTAAATGCCAAGTAAGTACAGACCGAGCTCCCATAAAGTGCGAGTGGTCAGATCTAATCCATGAAATACACCCCCGCGAAACAAAAGGGGGCGCGATAAAGGCCGTTGCAATTAAGATGGCTCTCTCTCTCTTTGCTGCAGCTGCGTGTCGGGAACGGGCTCGCAGTGGCACATGTTGGCAAGCAATTTTCTCGTATCAGGAAACGAAGCCGTCCCACTATTGCCTCTCCTCGTGAGCGCTTGTCGTCACGACCTCCCTCTCGCTTCCAGTACCCACGGAAGCACGCGAACGGCGCCTCTCTCCGCTGGAAGCTAAAAGGGCTTTGGGGGGGAGGGGATGCAGCAGCGACGCGAAAAAACTTAATTGAAGGGCCGAGATCGACGTCTACGTCGCGCTTTGCACCGAACTCGTGCAATTCCGGCAAGAATGGGCGGGACGGAACTTTCTCTTCGTCTCTCTCCCTCTCGTTGATGCTAATGAGAGAGCCGGGCTAGAGCTCATAGTTGCCGTGGGCAGAGTGTATATAGGCAGTCGCTTTCGTCTAAATTGAAATCAAGCGAAATGTGTTTTGGAAAAGGGAGGGTTTGCCGGGTTGCTGTATCGGGTTTAATGAGAGCCTTGGGACTGTCGCTCGAGTGGATTTTGATGGTACTAGTTTTCTTTTTTTTTTTTCGTTCAACTAAGCTCTTATAGAGTAGGCCTCTGGGTGCAGCCAAGTGCTTTTCAGCACAATTTGAGGTACAATTGCAATGACAATTTTTTTCAAGTTTATTCGTTCACGTA